AAAAAAAATATGTTGGATGATGTAAAAAACTTTTTTTACATCATCCACGGAATTAGGAAAAATAATTGATGTCGGCAATAATTTGCAGTGATGTCGGCAATGAATATGCATATATATATATATATATATATATATATACATATACTGTTTAACTTTAATTTGATTACATAAATCAAATTTAAACAGTATAAAAAATCTTTCAAAAAAAAAAAAAAGAGAACTATGTGTATTGTATTTTAATTACTTAAGTTATTAAAAAAATGTTGTAAAAAATGAAGTTTTATGAAAAATATTAAAAAAGCTAAATAACATTTTTAATATAGAATTTATAAAAATTATATCTATACATATACACTTAAAAGATAAAAATTTTTTAAAGGAACATTTTTATCAAACTTAATGGTAACTCCGTGTCCTTGTATATATGATGTGAAGCTTATTTTAAAATAACAAATGAGGTTTAAATTACTGATAACATATAAATAACTTAAATAGCAACATAAATAATAATTACTAAAGTTACAAATAACTTATAAGGCAAAAATAAAAAAACTCATTAAATTAATCAATAAACAATAAAATAAAAAGGAAAAATTACCTAATAATTTACTAACAAACGGTTGGGTTTTAAAAGGTTCAAAATCATCAATATGTTCACCAGTTCCGATAAAAATTATTGGAGAGCTAGTTCCAGCAACACTATAAAACAATATAAATTTGCATCCAAACAACATTTATCAAACAAAACTGTTTACGATATTACATTAAAACAATTATATATATCAATCGTATATAATCAGTATAAACTTACGCACTGAGTGCACCACCACCTTTTGCATGACCATCAAGTTTTGTGATTATAACTGATGCAACATCAACTTTTTCTTTGAATGCTCTTGCCTATGTTTAATAACAACAATTTATTTAATGATTTTATAATTTAAATCTTTTTTAGTTTTACATTATAACCAAAATAAATAAACATGGATAAAAAAGAAAATAAAAAAACTTTAAATAATAAAATAATATTTTGTAAACCTGAGCTTCGCAAGCCTGACCAATAGATGCATCCATAACAAATATAATGTTATCTGGAGACTAAACAAAAAATAATAATCACGCTAAACAAGTATATCTTTTATGATACTTGCACCAAAACATTACCAAATAAAAAAAAAAAATAGCACTAAATTAACAAAAAATATTACTAAAACGAACAGTCATCTCAAATCTCAAATGTAGTGGCCTTTTTGGCATGGTAGGTGAATGAATAAAATTATAAAAAAATGTAAAAACGCTACAACTTTATATTAAAATACTACAATATTATATTAAATATATTACAACACCATTTATTTTTATCACTATAGTAACTTATGAAAGTTATCATTCAAACTGCAATCAACTACTTAAAAGTTATTTACTTAAAAGGATCCTCAAGAGAGAAGTTGTGCCCATATTAAAAAGAGTGTTCAAAAAAATGTTTGGAATTGTTTTTGACTAAAACAAAATAATAAACATATACCAAAAAAACTTGTAGTTTTAGACAAATTTTGCCTTCTCCATATTTTAGTCGGAATTTTAGGTCCTTAAAATATACACACTTTTTTTGACACAATCTACAGACTTTTGTATAATTTTCTTTTTTGGAAACATTGAAGAATGCTTTTTTTCACATACAATTAGCAAATCACTGTTATTTATATTATTTTTCACTAAATCTCAAAACATATTCATAACAAAAATTGAAACCTTTGCTTTTATTAGTGAAGGTTGAACGATTTATAACAATTGTCAGAATAATTGAATATATCTTTGATATATATAACAATATAATATGTTTATATACGTTATGTATACATTTTTTGTTTTTAAAATAAGCGCTTCTTATCATCTTTCCTATGTGTTTTAAAGAATGATAAGAATATTTTTTTTTATAGTAGAGTTTTAAAGTACTAGAGCCTAACAAAATTAAGATTTTTAATTTTATTAGGCTCCATAAAGTCTCTAAAAACTTTTATTTTTATGTAAACAATGCAAACAATTTTTTAGTTTTATTTGAAACATATATCGCTATGGCATAATTGTTCCCCGATTAAAACGACACTTTACAAATTTTTAAATGTTAAAAAATTATAATTGTTGTAAACAACAGCATTTATTAGAGATATTAATGGACTCTTAAATATTTATAATTATGTCAATTTAATTCAAACTGATAAATTTTGATAACTTGCATATAGATATAAAGGTATTCTTGTTATAATTGGCTTTTGGATTTTGATAAATAAACTGTTAAAATGTTCTTGAATTTACAACGATTAGAACATCTGAAAAAAAATACAAAGAAAACTTGTATTGATAAAAAAAAATAATGAAACAGCTGACAATAGTATTACCTATGAATATTTGAATTTTAATATTGCTAAAGCGCCAAATAAAATTGTTTGAATTTTGGCACTGAACAATGGTGTAAATAGAGATACGGTAAAACTATGCTACTTGAAAATACCTTTGCTACGTTGAAATAAAAGCAATAAATATCAACAAAGGTATTACAAAATAACTTTATTTTTAAAAAAAACTAATGTATGCAGTATTAAAAAAATAATAATAATAATAAAATATTTTAATTATGAACAATTTTATAAAAACTTTAACATTATCAGTGGTGTACCCTCCTATTAGTTCCCTGTCGCCCTGCAGGCGACTGAAACAGTCAGTCCGATGTAAAAGTTTTTTTTTAAATATTTTTTCTCGGGTAAAAAATAATGTCTGACTCCTAAAATATATCTAATAAGAAACTGTTTATTTAAAAGTTAACTAATTTATTAATCAAATTAATCAAAGATATCTTATTAATTTTTGTCGTAATCGATATCTGCATCGTATTGTTTGTTTTTGTTAATCTTAACAAAGGTTTCATTAAAAACTGCAATGAAATATTTTATATATATAAAAATATTCAATTATTCTCTATTATTATTTTCAATCAAATTTAATTTAGCTGAACATTTAAATAATATATAATGTTTAAAATATATTTGTAATTTTTTGAACATTTTTTATTATATTAAGACTTTTTTTAAAAAAATAAAAGCTTTTCCACTTGCATCATTAATTGCGTTCTAATAATGATTTTTCATGTGCATCTTAATAATGTTTTTCATTTTGTTAATTTTGTTTGATAAAATTAAAAAAAAATTATTTTACTAATGAAATACAAAAGAGGCTCAGTGTTATTAATGATTCAACTGTCCATTCACATGATTTAAAATGCAACTATAAGGTTTAAAAAATGATGAAATAGCATTTGGAAATGAAAAAAAATGTAATTTTAAAACTTATTTTGAATTCAGATGAAACATGCTTCAAAATGCAACAACGTTTAAAAAAACAGTCCAGTCACACTTCGAAATATTAAATAGCATGTGGGCTTCTTTTTATCATGTTTGGTTAAATTATATAACGCACCGTAGAGTACTCATTGATAAACAAAGTGTAAACTACTTTAAATGCTTTTTTTAAGTCTTCTTTTGAATAATTGCAAAGAATAAAATCTTTATAGAACAAAATATAGTTTTTTTAATAAACACACTTTTGTAAGTAACAAACTGTCTGGAAGTCCTGCCGAGCTACTGAAAGGCATTTTTTTAAATTTTTAGTCCCCCTTGGATAAAACGAGTCGTATATGTATACAGGGCTTGAAATAGCGGCTGGACATCGGACATTGTCCGGCACTTGTCCAGTAAAAAATAACATCTATCAGTCATTTTGTCTAACCCATATTTTGTGTGCATTCATTTTACAATCATTTTTGTTGCTCCAAAATTATTAATAATTTTGGAGCAACAAAAAAACTTCAATTTTTAAACTTTTTATTTTTTATTCAAAACAGAGAATGAAGTTGAACACACAACTACGTTGATAAAATACGTCATTTTTTTGAGCTAATTCATTTTTAAAAAAATGCTAAACATTAAATTTTTTTAAATTAAACAGCCCAATTTTTATCATTTATATAAATATGTTGCAATTAATTATTAATTTAAATTTAAATTTCATTATTTGTTTTATTTTTTGTCCAATGGTTGTTATAAATCTCAAACAAATATTTTAGCTTTTAAAACTCTTTTTAAATTAATTTTATAAAAAATTTAACATATTTTAATGCTTATAAAAACTATTGAAATCAGTACTTTTTATTACACTATTAAAATGCTTATGAAACCAGTACTTTTTATTACACTATTAAATTTGAGTTATCCTATGCAACATTTGTTTTTACGCTAAAGTTATTCGCTATTAAAAGAGTTTATAAAAGTAATCATAGAAAAAGTTGAAAAAGACATCAAAAAATACATATTTATATAAATGTAAATATGTATAATATTCTTTGATAATTTAAATAAAATGAATTCGTTGTAAACAATCATTAGAATTAATTTGTTACTTTATTTAATGAAGGATTAAGTAAACATAATAATTTATCTATTTAATTTATTAATAATAATTTAGAAAGCTTTTTGCATAGAATTTTTTAAAAAACGTAATATAAATATATCTTCCGTTTTAAATTTTAGTTTTTTGAGCTTAGACTTTTTCTTTTTCTTTAAGATTTTTTGTTTTAAGATAAGTTTTTTTTTAAATTTCCTTTTATTATCAGCTCATTTTTGAAACGTCTTGAGTTGTCAAAACAAGCTGCTGGGGTCAAGTTGAAAAAAAATATTTTAAGTGTGGTCAGGAGTGGCATTCTATCTCATTTCTTTAGGTTTTATCGGACAAGTCAGCCAGAAAATTGAGTATTTATTGGAGAAATTGCCTGGAACAAAAAAGTCAGCTATTTCGAGCCCTGAGTGCATATATGTATATATATATATATATATGTATATATATATATATATATATATATATATATATATATATATATATATATATATATATATATATATATATATATATATATATGTATATATATATATATATATATATATATATATATATATATATATATATATATATATATATATATATATATATATATATATATATATATATATATATATATATATATGGGCCATTCCACGGCGGAAAATGAAAAAGTTGTCAAATCTAATTCTCTTTTTTATCAACTTTTAGCAAATGAATATTGATGTAGATAAACGTTTATTTAAAATATATCTTTAATACTAAAATTAATTTATTTATGTCATCTTTATGCCTCCGAAAGTTACGGTTTTTCTCATTGTCGCATGGTAAAAAAAGTATCATTGTAAAATGTTATTCTGACCATGAATTTATTTGCATAATCGGAATTAAATTAGCGTGAAAATGGATAACATGTTCAAATTGTTGTTGGTCAGATTTTATACTTTATAAAATAAATATATTTTCAGAATATAAGAAATGAACTTTTGCAATTTTCATATAACGTAAGTTAACAAAAACATGATAAAGTTTTGTTTTTTATAAAATTTAGTTGAAAAACTTAAGTTTTTTAATAATATATGTGAAAGATTATTAAATGTTATGCTTTTGCATTTAAAGTTTTGAATAACGATGATTAGTTGGAGCACATTTTTATTTTAAATTTATGTAACGTAAGTTGAAACCAGAAACATTTACTTGAGTTCTGGCGCTTTATCATTAACAAAATGAATTATATCATTAAGTAATTATTTTTTCTTTGACAAGGTTCTAACTGTTTTAGGAGAATTTAGAAAAAAAAAAAAAAATTTTAAGTTAATTATTTGTTTATGTATTCTTATTTTATTCAACATAATTACACATAAATAAATAAAAATAAGAACTATATAAATATTTGTACTTAGACATTAAAAAAAAAGATTTATTTGCTATTCTCCTAATATAAAAAAATCAGTTAGAATTGTTTTTGTTTTTGTTTAAGTAAAATAAATCATTTGTAAATGCTATTATGGGTCATCCATAAAGCACGTCACAGTATATTTGTCAATTTTTAACCCCTTCCCTCCTGTCACAAACAATCACATATACCTGAACCCCTCTCCCTCCTATACTGTGATAGCAGTTTTTCGTCAAGAATATTTCAAAAGATTTATATGAAAATATTTTGCAGCCTTTTCTTTTTTTAATCTACATCAATGATCTCCCTAAAGCGTCAAATATAATGACTTTTATGTTTGCTGATGACACTAATCTCTTTTTATTGCATAAAAGTATTCTAACATTATTTCAAACTATGAACAAGGAATTAGCAAAAATTTGTGAATGGTTCAAAATGAATAAATTGTCACTAAATGTGGATAAAACAAAATGGTCTCTCTTTCATCCGACTTCTAAAAAGAAACTACTGCCTCCCAACTTGCCCTTACTTTTTATAGACAAAATCAGAATAAAAATGCAGTTTTCTGTGAAATGTAATGTAAGTGGCATTTTCAGTAATAAGTTCGCCCTCTTTCGACCAGACTCAAAACCTTTTAGCTTATTTTATTCTTTAGACTAACAGCTTTCATACAAAATACCTGAAAGTTTAACTTACAGTTTAAATAGGCAAATATTTGATAAAGTTGTTGCGAATGTAATGTAATTACCCATACACACACACACACACACACACACACATATATATATATATATATATATATATATATATATATATATATATATATATATATATATATATATATATATATATATATATATATATATACAACCCTCGCAATTTGGGTCAGCATTCTGCAATGCCGATCTAACTGCCGACCTTAAAGTGTTGGCAAAAAATTGCCGACCTTGTTTCTATGTTTTATGGTCAGACCTTTGTATCTAATAATTTTTGCTCTCAAAAAGATTGAGGTCAGCAATAATTTGCCGACCTCATTTTTCTGAAATTCCGAGGGTTGTTTATATTAAAATATATATATTATATATATATATATAATAATAATAATAATAATAATAATAATAATATTAATAATATAAAACTTACAACAGCATTAGAAACTTGCAACATTTCTTCGAAAAGAGAATCTTCTTGTTTATGGCGACCACTAATTGAATCATAATAAAACTAATTGTTTAAAACATATAATATTTATATTTAAAAATATGTAAATGGATATAATAAAATAAATAATAATAAAACAATATTGGTAGAATAAAAAAAATCAAGTAAGATAAAAATACATAAAAAATTAGGTTATAAAGTACCTTGTGTCCACAATAATTATTTCAAAATTTTCATTTTTGAATTTTTCAACACCATCTGCTGCAATTACTGCAGGGTCGGGTTCAGCATAACTATTAGTAAATGTACATAACAACTTAAAACAGTGAATGTTAAAAATCACCTTATTATATAAGAACTACAATTTATTAACTTAGAAGTAATGAGTTATTAATTGAAAAATATAGAGTTAATACCTTAGAAATTGGGAAAAAGAAATAAATAACCTTCATCTTACCTTCCATAATATGGAATTCTTGCTTTCAAAGCATTTTGTTTTAATTGATCAAAAGCACCTAAAATATAATGTGTTACATTTATATATATACCTAAAATATAATGTTTTATATATATATATATATATATATATATATATATATATATATATATATATATATATATATATATATATATATATATATATATATATACTTAAATATAGAAAAAACAACTTTTAATGTAACTTAACTTCCAAATAAGTTCCATTAAAAGTTGTTTTTTCTATATTTTAGTATAAAACGCTGTTTATGAAAAAATATATATGTATGTATGTATTTATGTGTATATATATATATATATATATATATATATATATTGTGTATATATATATATATATATATATATATGTGTACATATATATATATATATATATATATATATATATATATATATATATATATATATATATATATATATATATATATATATATATATATATATATATATATATATATATATATATATATATATATATATATATATATATATATCAGGGGTTATTCTAGACTGTTTTTGACCGTGCCAAACGTATTTTAGGCACCACCAAAATTAAAAATCAAGGACCTTTTTTTTTAAGTTTTTAACAGCAAATATTGTAATTTCCATGGATATTCAGCAATATCCGCTAAATTTCTCTGGGATGGAGGGGTACTCCCGCCCATATTTTTTCCTATAATAGTATATATAAATAGGTCTGTATATATAAAGGTCTCGGCAGGAGTAAATGAGAGCAAAGCAGAGAAAGATCATGTTTTATATGATGTTTATTATATATAATTTTATTTCCAAATAATTTTGCAATTGATAGTTTTTTATTTATTATAATAAACTCATATTTAAAATTTAAAAAAAAATTACTTTCAGAGACTTTTAAAAAAACATTACCTTATTTAAATAGCGTTACTTTCACGTAAAATAATTAAGTATGCTAATGATAAACATAATTACGTTTTTGCATGGTTTTTGCATGCGTTTACAAAAACAAGCAAAATTTTAGTTAAAATAATGCTTTAGCAAATACTTTAAAAGAAACCATCCTTAAACATTATGATTGCTTATTTTTATTGAAAAAAGCAATCATAATGTAAAGTAATAAGCAATTACATTAAAAGTTTAAAACAAATGCATTCATTTTAAATAAAATTTTGTATGCTTAGTTTTTTTATTTTTGGTATTCATATTTTCCTTAAAGCGAAGTAATGTTTGTTTGCATATTAAAAACACTAATAAGAGTTTTAAAAAGAATTTTTAAGTTTGGTTGAAATATTTATATAACCTAATAAAATATATAGAATTATTATATTTATTATAGTTTTTATTTTTTTATTGTGCATTTAACAACGCCAATAATATGATATTTTTATTAACTTATTAAATAATTAATATGGCATTATCATTTTTAAAGGTTTTAAAAAAGAAATGTCAAAACAACTTTTATTTTAGTTTCTTCAAGTTTATAAGTTTATATTACTAGTAAATATGAAAGAATTAGTAGGAATGAAACAGATGTCTGAGATTTTTTATAAATCTTTTTGTAAAATACATTTATGTATTAGAAATGTAATTAATTTTTTTATCAGAAATTTTATTTTCACAATAAAACCGTTGATTTTTTGATAGCTTTGGTACTCATTTTGCCTTGAACTCTAATCTGAATATTTTTTTCAATGATCACCTTTTATTACATTGCAATAAAGTATTCAGAAAATTTTGTAGCAGTTTAATTGTAATTATGGAATCAATTAAATTAAAAATCAAATTTACTTTTGATAAATTTTTTAGTGCATTTTTTACAAGTGCTAATTGTCAAAACATGCAAAAAGCCATGGCCAACTTGTTAAAACAAAGTATTATTGCATGTTCATTTAAAGCGTGTGACCACACACCTCTAATGCGAAGGCCTGAAACATGTATTTTTACAAATTATCTATTTTGCCTATTTAACTAGTTTCAACTCTATCCTGCCCATCCATCTAGTTTCACTTTCCTGAATCAGTCTGATTTTAACATATTTCTTATTTGGAAAATGAATATAAAAAATATTATCCATTGATTGCTTGAACAAGTAAATTTTATTTTTTGAATTGTTATTTTATTCATTTATATTTTGACCGTTGTTTAAGAGATGTAAGCAAGAAGTTCTGAGTCATGTTCCTGGTTGTATTGCATTCAACTTCTTTCTCCAGGCAGCAATCTTGTTCGTGTTTTGAAGTTAAAGAGCTGATAGGAGGTTATAATCACAATTTAAAAAAAAAGTAGTCTCCTTGACTATGGTGGCCTCCTAGGCCCTGGCGAGGTGAATTCAATAAAATAAAAAAAAATTATATAAAAGTATAAGTATTTAAATGATACCAGATGTCACAATTGTTGATTTTTAAAACAAATGCAAAAATTATTGGAACAATAAGTTTTTAATTACAATTTTAGTTAATTTAATCTATAAAAACTTTGAGTGTTTACCCGTTAAGCAGTTCTCAAAAATTAATTAATTTTTCAGTTCTCAAAAATTATGTAATGAGATGGTTTTCAGTATTTTCAAAATACCATCCTATCATTGCTATGTATTTTATACTTAATAATGTGGTGTGATGGCATATCACCCTGTCCTGTCTTACTTGGAGTACTAATTTTAAGTATTTGATAACAATTTTTGTTTGATGAAAAAACAGCAATAAAAAACAAAAGACAGTAGGCACTACGCAGTAAATTTGTATTCCAGTTCTCTAGCGTAAACAGAATATAAAAATGTGTTTAAAAAAAATGATTGCATAAGAATTAAATCTTAAAAAGTATAAAAAGAAAATTACTCCCCCCTCCATCTCCACCCGTGCTTTCTACTAGAAACTTCGTATCCATGCCATGTTAGAATTAGCATTAGCAATAAAATTTGTATGTCTAATATTGGATCACCTTTTTTTTTGAATGATGACTAGAGGAGAGTTTGAATGAACAATAGTCAATGACGCCGAGAGAAGGAAGGGGGGGATCAAAGGGACAATTTGTCCCAGGTAGATAAGCAGATACGCCAAATGCTGCAGATATGCAGATATGCCAAATGAAAGTTTTTGCTGAGACTTTGTAATAGTAACTTTATTTTGCTATGCAAATAATGCATAGAGAAAATTTATATTAATTATAAATTTGAACTTGCAATTAGTGTGAAATATGAAATTTATAAGCTCGTGTTTACTATTTTTTTTATTTTTCTATTTTTTAAACATTTCTTTTGATGACACAATTTATTAAATGATGGTGTCAGGGTTGACGACATCAAGCAGAATTTAAATAATAATTAAAAGTAGAAAACCATTTTCAATGAAAAGAAATTACTTCTTTAAAAATCATACCAGTAAAAAAGAAGTCTTAAAATGAAACCGGCAACGATATATTAAGAAAATAAATCATATATATGCATATAAGCATATGACAAAATGATGATTGAGACGACAAAATGATGATTGAGATGACAGCATTTTGGCTAAAAGACTATTCACAAAAGATATCACCCATAAATCACAGAAGATATTAGCAGAGAAAGTTAGAGAGGGTCAAAAGGACTACTTTGGGAAGAAAATTACCCTTCTCAAAACTAATGACTATTCCCCCAATTTGAGCTTAGCTACCATTTTATACCATTTTTATTTGCACATTTCAATGGGATTGGGTAATCATCACTAATAGAATTGTCTGTATCATCAAATAATTGATATTAATTTGTTTCAAGTTCTTTTCTTTTAGGTGGCAGGTCATGTGAATGTGTTGTAATAGGCACTATCACAATATTGCACTGAACTTTGCATCCATTAGGAGATTTCTGAAGTTTATAAAAGATTTTGCCTTCCATTTTTTAAATTTAACATTTTCGGGCAACAAGTCAAATAATTTATCCCACCAATATATAATACTTGTCTTCTTATTTGCACTTTGTATTGATTTAATAACAAATTTATAATTTTTAATAGCAGACTTTACTTTTCTTTGCACAGATTTCTCGGTAAAACATAGTATAGTGTTCCATAACTGACAAACTTCAATTGAGATTACTTTAATAACATAACTTGATCTAGGATCTTGCTTCCTAATTAGGAGTAAATTAGCTTTTTAAAAAATAAAATAATTAAGAGTGAAAACAATTAAGTTGACTAAAATTTTGACTGAAATTAATTAAAAAAACTTATTTCTAAACTAAAAATAAGTTAGTAAAATATGAATATAATATAAATGTTAGTTTATCCAATTCTATAAGGAAATGATATCTTCCTTTGTCTTATCTGCTTTGTCTTACATAATTTTAAAAATTCCATAAGTAGCTTCTCAATTAAATTTCCATATATACAATTTCTTGACTTTGAAATAATAGAAGGGCGATCAACCTGTTTAATTAAATTATTCTCTGATATCTTACACATCTAAAATACAGTTTAAATTTAAATATATACATTAGTTAGACAATATGAGTTATTTTAAGCAAATTATCAAACTTTAATACAGATTTGCGCTGAGGGTTTTTTTGCATTTATATAACTTATTTTTATGTTTTGTGAGTTTTAGGTAATTACTCTACGAATAGTTATAGGGCCGTCATTTAAAAAAAAAATTTAACTCCTAATATATATGAAGACCTCAGTGGAAAAACCGGCAATGTCACATTTAAAAAGTTTTGAGAAAGTGTTTATTGATCATTAATAAAAGTCTTTATATAAATTAATAGAAAATTTTTATTAATAAAAATTATAAAAATCTTATTAATGATTAACTTTAAATAAATTATTTAAAATATAAATTAAATTTTTCTAATCTTCATTATTATTACTATTATTTTATATTTATACAGACTTTTTTAATGATTAATGAATACTTCCTCAAAACTGTGTGTGTATATATATATATATATATATATAATATATATATATATATATATATATATATATATATATATATATATATATATATATATATATATATATATATATTAAATATTCTCGTTGCAACAAGATCAAACGTCAGTTTTCACGCC